TGTCAGACACTAAGCTGCACCTGTCTAATCACATCTGCCCCCATTGAAATGGGTCTGTCTTCTGCCATAGTTGTTTCTTTGTGCTGCGACTTAATAACCCTGTGATCAATGGACTGGAGCCCTTCCCTCTCCTGGACCATCCTCCTGACTCCTGATCTCTGCCGTGCTCTGCCATCGTCTGTAACCCTTCACTTAGGGAAGCTTGGCATCCTGTCATCTTTCTGTGACTATCTTGATTGTTTATAACTATGTAGCACTATTGCACATGAGTGAGAGTGTGGTCATTCCATGGCTACAGACTGGTAAGAAACATCCTGCCCAAAGGAAGAATCTGGCCCTGTATTTCAAGGTTGACTATGGATAAATCATCATTTGGTAAACATATATTAACTACCAGTGATGTGCTGCACCCACAGACTTATTGAAATGCCAGCCTGCCTCTTCATGATATCAGGATCTAATTATAGAAAAGATCATTTCATCAGTAGTAACTACAGTATGATAGATTCTGAATAGACAAACATGCATTTGTGAGGTTTTCTTTCACTAAAGTCACTGTAGAGAGGACCTGTGGCCTAGTGGTATGGAGCTGTACTGCCAATCCAAAGGCATGTAGCTCTAATCTATTCCACAGGAGAAAGATGAGCAGTGATTCACTGTCTCTGTGAACCAGCTGGAGGATCACTTGTGAGCCATTTCTGCTTCAGTGGCACACAGAAACCATAAAGTCACTGAGGAAAAGCCACATTGTAGCCAGCTGAAGACATATCAAATGTCTTTCCCCTCACTTCTTTTATATAAGTCAAAGGCTCAGGAAGAAAATGGCAAGTGTAGATTGTCATACCAAGGGAAACATCCAGGGTTCCACCTCTTCCTCTCTCTAGATTATTATTTCTTTGGCTTCTATTTCCTCATGTATGCAGTAAGTTAAAACAGTGAGTGTATTTAGCACAATGTGTGACACTGAATGGGTAAGATTAATGTTAGACCTTCTTTGTGCTCTCTTCACATACAATTGTCACCTGCAAAATTCTGTTATGATGGAAAAAATCCCTTCTAATTATGAGTCAGTATATTATAA